CCTTCTATTGGTCTTTGGCCGTCTTACTTCCGGAAGGATCGAAAGGAGGAAGTAGTCCTGGCAAGGCTACGCATTGGTCATAGTTTTTTAACCCATCGTTTTCTTTTATCAGGTATTGACCCACCGATGTGTAGCCATTGTGACACTCAAGTCACAATAGCTCACATTTTACTGTCGTGCCGTCGTTACGACCGTGAGCGGCGGCACCATTTTAGACACATTTTTTCTAAAAGTTTACCCCTGACGTTGGACAGTGTCATTGGTAATAGTGACACTGTCCGACTAGATTGTATTTTAATTTTTTACACACTATACGTCTTTTTAATTCTATATAAATCTTTTACCGACATATACTGATTTTTAACTCGCTAGTTTTTACATTTTACTTTAATCTACTTTCATTGCTTTTTACCGGTTTTTGGCGCAGTTAGCCTAGCTGCTTTGCGCCATAAACATCAACCAACCAACCAACTATTATTAATAAAAATATTATCTGGTATATTTAATTAAGATGTTAAGTTGCATGCTGTTATCGTTAACTTAGTGTTGCTACTGTTATTAGTATTACTCATTTATAAATTATAATTGTTCGGTTAGGCTTGGCATTAACATACTTAATAAATATTAAAAATATATGTTTCTATAACATGAAATAATACTTAACGGTTAAGAAATGTATTTTGTTAAAACAAAAAGTTAAATGATTAAAGTTAGAAAAAAATCAACATTTACTGAAACTTGGAAATTAGAATGGGATAGAAACGCGGAGGAGATGTCGCAGTACAGCGGTTGCAATATGTATGGATTAGGAAAATCCTTACTGTAGCTACTAAGTCTAATAGTAACATCGCATGAAAGTCAAGTAAAATATGATTTCAGAAATGTTTTGTTTAATTTGGTATGAAATTATACAATGTGTGTAAATGTGTTTTTAAATGTTAAGTTTGAATGGCTTTTCCTTATTTATTAATATTATAATGCTAACACTAAACTGTAATACTACTACTGAGAAATAGTACTAGTACTTAAGTAGTTAATAACATTAACAATACAATCTTTAAACAAATGCCGTATTTTGTGCTGAGATGTGATACTGATTTTATTATAGTAATATTACTGTACTTAGTGTTAATGCTACTAGTTCTACTACTACTAATTAGTTTTATTTACTGATCACTATTAGTATTATTACTAAGTAGGACTGTACCTGGACATTTCCCCATTCCGATTATTTTGGATTGTTGTTTGTGTAATTGTGAAGTCAAGTCATAGCTCGAATTTTTTTGTTTTTGTCTTTTTTAATTGATACTGATAGGTTATAATATACATGAACATGTTATATAATTTGTACTTATTTTATACATGTAGAAGTCAAAATGTTTTCAGTGCCAATGGTTGGATGAGTTGAATATAAACATTTATTTAAGTTTGAAATGCTAGTGAAAGAATGCAAAGTTATTACTTTTTATTTACTGTGATATGATGGAAAAATCAGTAATGAGTTAGGATTTGTCTATGATTGCTGAGTAGCAGAATTAAGTTTAGAAAACTCTGTATGTATATAGTGTACCTTTTTTAAATTTAAAGAAAAAAAAGGGACAGAGTAACTGAGTGAATACTATAAACATGTAAATGGTATGTAGGAACTTCAGTCAGTTAGTGTAAAATTAGCCTGATACACCTTGTGGTGGTGTGCAGTAGTTAACTTGTAGTCCAATTAAATACTTAAAAGTTATTTATGAACAGTTTATTTGCAAGAACATAAGGCAACAGCAAAATAATTATAACAGTGATTGTACCAGATGTTCAATGAAATACAAAATGAAATTTGTAAGTTGGAATACTTTTGGCAGATAAAGTTAATAATTTATAACAATCTGATATCTCAGTACAAAAAGTAATGGTGAAAAAACATATACTATAAAAGGGGTGATAAAAAATCTTATTTATATTAGAATGTAATCGTTAGATAAAGTTATTTCAAGATACATTGCTCACAGTAGTGTACTTTTGATAGAGATTGCTTGTTTACTGATGTACAGAAATTAAACAAAAATTTACAAACATCCAGTAGAAACAGTTTAACTCTCAAATTACTATCTTATTACTACTCATTACTGGTGGGCACACATAAAAAATGCTTATTTTTTATGTATGTTAAATATGAACAAAATGTTCAAATGGCAATAGGGCCCTTAAAGGATGCTGAGGACGAGGTTTTTGTTGAAGATTACAAATAACATATAATGTAAAATTTAATGACAACAAGAGATCCGTTGGTCATCTAGGCTATCTGTTTCGATAAACTTTAAAATAAAAATAAAATGTTTATAGCCAGCCCTTATCATTCAAACATTTATCAAGCCTTCCTTAAACTCACTTTAATTTACTGTATCCAATACATCTGAAGGCAACCCATTCCAAAGGTCAACCACTTTGTTAGAAAAATATAACTATTTTAGCTAAAGATCACCAACTCCTACCCTGCCAAAATTTATATTTGTGTCCTCTATTTTTATCATTCTCACCATTAAGTACAAAAAATAGATGATGTATCAACACTGTCAGTTCCATTGAGTAACTATGACTCTCTTAAGGTAGCCAAATGCCTCGTCATCTAATTAATGACGCGCATGAATGGATTAACGAGATTCCCACTGTCCCTATCTACTATCTAGCAAAACCACAGCCAAGGGAACGGGCTAGGAAAAATCAGCTCAACAGGGTCTTCTTTCCCGGCTGATTTTTCCAAACCTGTTCCTTTGGCTGTGGTTTCGCTAGATA